AACGGCCGACTGTTGTGTGTTTGTTTCCGTGAACGGCCGACTGCTGCAAGGCATTGTGGGGCAGCATTTTCTCCTCTCCTTTCGGTTAGGGAGGTCCAGTGGTTCCTAAGCTAAAGGAGGTTATAAAGGAAGTTTGAAACCTCCTTTCCTATCATTTTAGAGAATTCGAACGGCACTTATCATGGCTGCCACTGAGGGACTTCCGGGTCATTTCACTCCGTTAGGAAGGTTCCTAAGCTAAATGGACTATTCGACTTCAGCCCATGTCCTGGATGTAGGAAGGGCCTGATCCATTCACAGCACGGTAAGCCTACCTGTGTTTTGAAGTGGATTCTGGACGTCACGCCACTGTTAGTCACTGAAGGGAGAGGAGGAGCGGGGTAGTGTTCCCTGACTTCCCTTCATATTAAACTTTAACCGGCTATAAATAAGAATACTTCCAACAGTCACTTTTTTAAATGCCCAGTTCAGTTTATGGCCATGCAGGGTTGATTCTGAAATACAGCAGACTTCACAGAGCATAGTTTGTTAAAGGCCAGGTTTTATCATCAAAGGAGAAAGGTCATTCAGGATACTGTTGCACAGCTGAGCCCCATTTTATGTTGCCTTTGTCTACGGGAAATGCATGCAATCACATTATATTCATGCTGGCTCAGGTTCGCTACACACACATATACACTGAGTGCAGGACACCTGCCATGTGCTCCACCACCTGATGGAAAACGTGGTCTGTTCGCTCATATATTACATTTAGGTCCTTGTGACGTTTATGGCTGTCGCTGCTGTGTGCGGGAGAGAGGAACTGGAGAGAAGATGGGTTAAAAAAAAAGGAAGAGGAGGCAAAGGAAGAGAAAGAGCCACAGGATGGGGGGTGAGAGGATATGAGAAGGTCAGAAGGTGTGAGAGCATTAGCGAGGGATGTGCGGACACCAAATGGGTAATCCCAAGAGAAAATAAATCAGGAGAGGGAATATGTAATCACATTCCTCTGTGATGATAGAGCTATATAAAATCATATCGGGATCAGGTGTTCCATTAGTGGAGGATGAGCTGCAGGGGAGAGCGCTGGTCCTGCTAGCCAGGAGAGGATGCTTGAAACTGGGGGACGGAGAAAGACAGACATGGGCTGTGGAGCGCTCTGCCCTCCAGGTAGGACATCATTCTGATCTTAACTGTGCATCACGCAGGTGGCATGTTCCTGAACGATGCATCCATCGCTTTGGCTTTTCATTGTTAACCTTAGCGCATACCGTAATTTTATGACTGGCCCAGCGGGGAGGACTGATGTACGGGGGGGACGCCTGTCGTTTCTATTCGGGGTGCTAACAACAAATCAAATTTGCACTGAACATATACAATGTGTTAATAGAAGTGAATGTTGAGCAAATGTTTTTTTAACACTCGGGGAAAAAAGTGCCACCATTTACATAATGTATGTTCATATTACTCATGTACCCCTGTTTATAGTCCTCTTATCCACATATGTATGACAGTATAGAGTATTTTTGTTTTACTGTTTTTTAATTTAACGTTTTATTTTATTTTATATTTTTATATGTTCATATTTTCAGAATCAGAAACAGATTTGCTGTCAATTAGGTTAAAACATACAAGCAATTTACTTTATTGTATTTGGTGCATACAAAGTCACAGTCAAATAAATTCAATTGTAAGAAAAATGACCTAAATAGGAACTTTTACAAAAAAACATTTAAAAGGAAAGAGAAATATTTACATGAAGTATAATTAAATAAAAAAGAAATATTGCACTATTTTGTGTCTTTTACTTTAATGTTGAGTATATCCTATTGTTGGATGAGCCTGAGACTCAAGATTACCATTACCAACACTACACTATAGCTATTAGGGATGGGAATTTGAAAGCAAATGTATATTCGAATATTCGACCCCCCAGAAAACGGTTAACCAGTTAACCGAAATGTACATATAAAAAAAAAAAAGGGTAAAAATGGAATGTGTAGATGAGTTGACATATCTAAGCTGTAAATACCTATTCAACATTGGGGGGAACATGTTGGTAATGTACGCCAATTTCTTTGAAACTTAATAACTATGCTGACCATTTTAAAGCATTTTATATTCTGGTATAGTTTCCAAGAGTGTGGGTGCGTCTCACTTCTCTTATTTTTCATTTTCTCGCTCCTCGGTCTCGGTATCACCGGAAGTTGATTTGTCTGCGCCATCTTGAGTAGCGTCCCAGTGGCCTTATTTGTGCCGGAGGATCGAGGAGCGATAACGGAGGAGTGATAATCAAGGAACCACCAGACCATCCTCCGGGGAAATCCTGACACTCGCCCCGCCCCCGTACTGTGTATCGCTCACTGATTGGACGATGCAGCGCATGCACTGATCTGGCTGCTGACAAGACAACAATACAAAAGTAAAATGAAGCAAAGTTTATAAGAAATATCAACTGTTACGCAGACTCCACACGGCGGCGTGCGTTGAAGCTTGCCGGCGGGCGTGTCTGAAGCTAGACCAACAACCAATCAACTGAATCTCCCGCCCCGGACACACAAGCACACGGTATGATTGGCTAGAGCAGGGGTGGGGAACCTTTGTCCTCTCAAGGGCCATTTAAAAAAAAAATTCAACATCCTCCGAGGGCCGTACAAATTATTGAACTCACACAGCCCATTCATTTCGCCTTTCCTTCTTGCTGTGCAAAGAAAAAGCAACCTCTTAATCCAGATATTTTACCATGACTCACGTATGCATTCATGTGCACGGTTGTGGCATGACCACCAAAACAGAAAGATATGGACACAAGATGTGTGCAATTTAGTTTCCTATCCATGTGAACATGATTTAAGTGGGGGGGGGTCCTCACCTCCTCTAGGGGGGTCCGAGGGCATGCTCCCCCGGGAAGATATTTTTTTTAAATGTTGAAGTTAAAAGCATCAATCTGGTGCACTTTGAGAACAACATGAAGAGATATGTGGATACATCTCTCAACACCCATATGAAACAGAACAGTAAGCAGATTTTCTTTTTCTTTATGGATATTTTACAAATCACTCCCCTTTCAAACTCTATTCTTGTTTATTAATAACAACTTTTTTTTACTGTCATATAGTGACGTAGTGTCATATATAGTTTCTTTTATTCTCTTATTTTTTTATAACTATAATGATCATATAAAGATGTGCCTTTACCTCACTGGTTGGAGAAAAAGCTTCTTATATTCGTTAGCAAAATACCGTCCTTATAAACGCTGCATAATATACAATATCTTTGTCAATATGACTGACGACCACACTTATGCAGTGCTGAGGTAATGTTAATTCATCATTTAATATTAATTCCTGATGGATATAAGAGGGATACATTAGCAAACATCTGTATATATAGCCTATATATAATGTTTCGTTTTTTTGTTTGTCATGTAACATGTTAACGTTTGTTTAATATTTTATAGACATTTATAATATGTTATAAATGTCTATTTTAACATTAATATATATGTTTATAAATGAATAAATGTCTGTAGGCCTATATATATATAAAATAGTATCATTAAATAATGCTAATACTTAGACCAGCTGAGATGATAAAACACCAGTAAACATTAAAACAACTATTCCTGCTTTACCGCGACCACTATGGCTATAACTGCCGAAGATAAAGTCTATGACGCTAAAGCTACGTTCTTGCGTAATGTGGAAGTGGGCGTGGTTAAATCTAAACTGGGTTGGAATAACGATAGACGCGTCCCGGCCCGCGACGTCCTGGTGCTCTCCGGCTGCTCTAAACCCCTGTTGGACGAGACATAATACCACGTGATGGCATGTTAGGCTCGTGTTGTGTTCAAGGACCCTGACATTGGCCAGGAAAAAAAAGGCACTCGCTTGTTTAATTCTTTTGCGGTCTAGATTTCTTACTTTTTTTTCTTTTTTGCTTGTGTTACCTCGAGGGCCGTATCAAATTGTCTCGCGGGCCGTATACGGCCCGGGGGACAGAGGTTCCCCACCCCTGGGCTAGAGCTTCTACTGGCATATGATTTGATTGGCTGACGCTTCCGCCGAAGCTTCAAAAGTTGAACATTGGGCAACTTTTGAAGCGAGCAACACAAGGAAAGCGAAGCGACGCTCCCACAATGCAGTTCCGAAAAGCGTGACGTCACCCCATTCAAAGTGAATGGTCAGAAGCGTTGAAGCTTCCGTGTGGACGGGCCGTTAAAAAGTTATAACGACATAACATACTTATTTCTTAGCTCTTCAGTATTGTGGTTTTACACGTTGCATGTAAGACCCTCTCACCACAGAATGAACAGTGAGGCATGTGTCAATCTATATGAATATTCTCAGACACCCCGGGCGCTGTTATATGTGAGTGTATTCATGCAGACATACTGCACATAGGCACTTGTGGATAGTGTTGATTGAGAGGATGTTGTTCCAGTGAACACAGAGACATTCACAGGATGTTCACTCCATGCTTTCAGTCTCTCAGACACACACACACACACACACACACACACACACACACACACACACTCAGAACAGCAGCGATCGAGCCTCCTCAGGTATCTGACACACAGTGAAGAATGGCATGCTGGGCTTCTGTGAAGCCCGCTGAGAAGCAGGAAGCAACCCTAGTGTCTGTCTGTCTCACGTCAAGAGGCTCTTCACGGAGGGGCTGCTGATGGTTAATAGTGGAATCAAAGGAACATGTTATAGAAATATCTCATTGCAAGCAAGGTTATCTCTCTTTGTCTCTGCTTATCTGATTCAGGCTAAGTTGTGCTAAACATGTAGCTCATGGATGGTGGATACATTTTTAACACTGCTTCATTTACTTGTTTTGTTTGAATGTCACGCTTTTTTAATTTTAAATCAACCTTGTGGGTCATTCATCAAGCAAAAACACTAAGCATTCAATGTTTTGTGCTTCTAAAATACAAAAATGATGAATCAACTATTGAATCAAAAAATGTTATTTTGATCCCTGAAGTACTGTACTTGTGCAGACAATACTCACAACAGCACCTATTATAACATTTAACATAATATGTAATAATCCAGAGCTATGGCACTGTTTACCTATGTTAGTTTTTTATATTTTTGCAGGAACTTTTGAAGTTAAGAAACATTTAGAAACATTTTGTCTTTACCTTTTAATTGTTGGCTATTTATTGAAATGTCTAAACAATATAGGAAAGTATTGTATCTACACTACACTGTTTGACCGATGTGATGATAACATTCGTACCTTTCCCTCGTAGTGTCCGAGCTTCAGGAGGAGGGGATAAACGCCATCAACCTTCCTCTCAGCCCCTCCCACTATGAGCTGGACCCCGAGGACACCATGCTGGGTAAACTACACCGACACTACCTGTTGCATTCAGCCGACCTGCTACCTGAATAACATTTAACAATCTTTTGCTAAATCAGTCAAATACGGTGGCCAATGATTTTGGCTAAAGGATCTTATTAACTACATCAATATTTGCACAAGCACTGTCACAAGAATTGACCATAAAGACAAAATACTGAAAATGTGGTAGTACTTGTTTTCATACATTGCCACAGTAACCGTAGTATCCGTACATCACGGCTTGAGACAACGTCCAATTTTGTACACAGAAATTGCTTTCTTCAGCTTCCATATGCCATGAAATACACTCGTGTAAAAAGAAAGAAACATCTCAAGTGCAGACTTAATGTGATTTGCAGTGTTTTTGGGAAAGCAAAAATGTATTAAGCTTGTAAATGCTGTTTTTCTTATGGGTTCTGTTGCTCTTCTCCCTAAGACACTAAGGAATATATTATAATATAATAATGTTCTTCTTGCATTGAATCTGTCTTAATCCATTAGAGGAGAACGAAGTGCGCACCATGGTGGACCCCAACTCCAAGAATGACCGCAAACTGCAGGAGCTCATGAAGGTACACCACCATTTATCCTGGATACATTGTCATTTAGAATGTAATAGGGCTGCATCTCTTCATCCCCACATTCAAACTTGAGGTGGCTGCTTGGTGCAGGGGAACAGGCTGGAGGAACAATCGTACATGACATGAGGTTGAGTGAACAGTCACAAGATTGAAATTGGCAAATTCTTATGGGAAACTTTTTTGAGGCTACCAAAGGCCTCAGATTGGGCCAAGACTACAGTCCCAGTAGGACAGACATCCTTACTAGTTGCTACTTAAATTCCAGAAAAAATCTGTGAAATGGCTTGAAACCGGCAATTCATAGACATGCAGCTGGACTAACAGCACTACATCAGAAATAATGTGTTTTTACTCGCCAAGCTTTGCACAACAACACCAACGAGTCCAGCCGCCATCAACTATCTGCTGGGCTTCTACTACGTGAGAGCCCACAGCAAACAACCACACACTATAAACAACAGCAACACGCAGTATTACGTTTTTTTTAATATGTTTTTGGTTATTTCCCTTATTTAGTTGTCATTAAAGCTCAGTGTGAGATTCTCTTGCATTCTCTACGCAGATGACATCATCAAAATGACTCTTGAACAGTGATGCAAATTAGTCGCTTTTCGGCGCCTCCCGCTTTTTTAACGCTGCTTTGGGTGACTTGTGTAATTCGTGGAGAACCGAAGAGTTTTCGTTTGGGGGGGGGGTTCGTCAGTCAGTCAGTCAGTCAGTCCGTTAGTCCTTCCGACTGACAGACAACTTCTCACTTCAAAAAAGAAGAAGAAATCTGGATCGCAAAATAATTAAACAAGCGAGTGCCTGTTTTTCCTGGCCAAGGACAGGTTCCTTGAACACAACACGAGCGTAACGTGTCTTCACGTGGTTATGTCTCGTCTGAAAGGAGGAGTGTAGACTAGACTAAGTTGACTTACGGAGGGAGGCACGGGACGCCGTCCAGCTCTTCAATATTGCAGTAACCCATAGGAAGCTCGTTACACATGCCGGAGTGTATGCTTGGCCTGTGTCTTTAGTTTTAAGCAACAGTAGGCGATCTGTTGTTATTAGCATCTGGTTAGCTGCTATGCTAACAAATTTAAAGAGCTTTTCTACCAAACCAGGTGGAAGAGAGCTCTCTCCTGAGAGGCCCAAAATCAACCCTCCTAGTCTTCTGTGGATTGGTTAAGGTGCACACGCTTGATATTGGATTCCATTATTAATTATTAATTGGAGAGATTAGGATGACTTCTAATGGAAAAATACAGGTATTATAAGTTAGCTTATTATGGATCAGGTAACAAAAATGTTGGTTAAAAATAGACTAAGAATATTGAGTTTCAAAACAAGAATACAGTGATTTGTAAAATATCCATAAAGAAAAATCTGTTTACTGTTCTGTTTCATATGGGTGTTGAGAGATGTTTACATAGATTTCTTAATGTTGCTCTCAAAGTGCACCAGATTGATGCTTTTAACTTCAATATTTAAAAAAAAATCTTCCCGGGGGAGCATGCCCCCGGACCCCCCTAGAGGAGGTTAGGTTCCCCCCCCCACACTTAAATCATATTCACATGGACAGGAAACTAAATACATTTGCACACATCTGTCCATATCGTTCTGTTTTGGTGGTCATGCTACAACCGTGCACGTGCATGCATGCACGAGTCATGGTGAGATATCTGGATGAAGAGGTTGCTTTTTCTTTGCACAGCATGAAAGAAAGGCCACATGAATGGGCTGTGATTTTAGTTTTTTCCTGCAGAGGTTGAGTTATAATAATTTCTACTACCCTCGGAGGATGTTATAAAAATTGAAAGGAAAAAGGTGCCCCACCCCTGCTGTAAATAATAATAAAAACCCTTGATTTATAACTTAACATCTCTGTCTCCTATTGATCTGAGTATATTATAAAGAACAGCCAGTTAATTGAAGCATTATAGCACAGGCCTTTGTCAGATGGTATATTACGCTGTTTTTTTCCTGCTTCAAATAGTTCTCTCTTTTTTCACCATACCTGTGTTTGCATCACTGCTTGAAGATGACTAAAAGTTCATAAAGGTTACTCTCAATGGCTGCAAAAACACAGAGAAATTCTGCGGCTTGTTATTTTTGTTAAATAACATTAAGGGAAATCTTGGAAATAGTTTTCTCCTAATGCAATGCAGAGCTATTCAATTGGCAAAGATTCACCTTCTGTTTCATTGATTTTAACAACTTGAATTGACTTGAGTTATTATCTAGGAAATAAGAGGTATGAGTTTGGGCATTGGCTTCTGCAGATATTCAGTGTTTAATCAGCCAGTTTGAGATGAGGGGCAAAACATGTTTCATCTGAACGTACTTAAGAAAAGACATCCCACCTGTTTACACTGCACCTTGGCCAATAATAATAATTAATACAAATGTACAAAGCATTTAGAGTGGTTTGGCTTATTGAACCCTAATCACAGGATTCATGCTTTTTTTAATGAGTTTCTTCATGGTTGAATACATTAATTGGAAATGTCTTTGGTTAAGAGCATCAGCTAAATGAAATGTTATGTCATTTAATAAAGTTTACAAGGTTATAAGTATGTATTCTGAATTAATTACTTTGTGATAAATCCTTATTTCGCAAAATGACATTCAAAGATTGAACAAGTTCTAATTATGAGTAAATAGTATTGTATTCTCCCCTGTAGGTGTTGATCGACTGGATCAACGATGTTCTGGTGGGGGAGAGGATCATTGTGAAGGATCTGGCTGAAGATCTGTACGATGGGCAGGTGCTGCAGAAACTATTCGGTGAGCAGTTCAGGCATAATGCTTTGGGGATTTCCCATCCCTGTTGGTGTAGGGTGTTTTATAGGTGTTAGTTTACATTTGTCTGAAACGCTTCGATTGGACTCCTTTGTTTACTTCAGTAACATAGTGACATCACTAAATAACACTTGCGCTTCTATTGACTAGCAACACATTGTACGTGATATGCTAAGGGGGGGAATTTCTCTGAGGGGTTGACCAATCACAACAGAGCCGGCCAGCTAACCAATCAGAGCAGATTGGGCTCTGGTTTCAGACAGAGGGTGAAAAGAGGTGCTGCAGCACAGGCAGTATAAGAGAAATAAAGAGCTTTTTGAATGTTAAAGCATGGAGACATGTCACAGTAGAGGAACAAAATACTAATATGAACCTGAAAATGAGCAGAAGATGTCCTCTGTAAACTACTCATGTCGAGAAAAGCCATTGAGACACCTAACTAAAGTTGTGCTGTTATTGATTGTTATATTTTTACATGGCAATAATTAAAAGGTACCTTTGAATGAACTGTCTTTACATCACATCTCTAAGTATTACCAGATTCATATTGAATTCTCTGTGTCTGTCTCGTTGTTCAGAGAAGCTGGAAGGAGAGAAACTGAACGTGGCCGAGGTGACCCAGTCGGAGATCGCTCAGAAACAGAAGCTGCAGACGGTGTTGGAGCGCATCAACGACTCCCTCAAACTCTCCACCAGGAGCATCCGCTGGAATGTGGACTGTAAGGATATGACCTTTTTACTTTCTATTCAACTGTATTGCTGAAATCTATAATAGTTTTTTGTAATTTAAAGTCATGCCCTAACATATTTCCCATCAATTCTAAATCCGAATTAGGTTTATTGCCAAGTAGGCTTACGCATACAAGGAGTTTGCTTTGCTGTAATGGTGCAAACATCAAATTTTCTTTTAAAATGTACAATTTAGAAACATAAAAATAAATCTTTCCAACAGACATAAATATATATTTAAAATACAAGAATAGGACAAATTACAACTTGTTAAAAATATGTGCAATAACCTGAATTTTACGGCACAACCTTAATCCAGTTGAAATACCCTTTGCACTACTCCTGTTTCTGCTGCAGTGAGTCTCTCAATAACATTTCGTCAAACCCGGCCCGTTTTTTTTGCTTTTCCACCCGGGCTAGTTCCGGCTCAGGGCTACTTTTTCACCTTTTTTCTGGCCCTCCCAAATCGAGGTTGTTACCGGGCCAACAACCGGGCTGAATATACTAAACTAGTGACGTAAACACTCTCGACTGCTGAATGGTCAGAGAGAATCGCTGGAAAGGGGGCTACAACTACAACGAAATTAACATATTTGACCGTGATTTAATTGTAATACACGTTTCAAAATGATGCCGAAATAACAACATACTGATACCGGTCTGCAGACAAGACGGTAGGCGAAAAACCTTTTTAAAATGCTTGTTTTCTGAATGGAGATCGGCTAAGCTAACGTTGTATATTCTCCGTCCACACAACAACAACGGCCTACAGACATAAATAAACCAGCGACTGTATTCGCCATGACACAGACAGTCTGTGGTTTGTACTTGTTTAACTTTTGTCTAGTTTCTGAACAGATATGAGGAGCTGTGAGCTCTGAGTGCTAACAGCTAACGTCTGAAGTTATGGTTTTGTGGTTTCGCATTGAAGATGACGTCACGGCAGTTTTACGCAGCGTCGCTCCGCCCGCCGAACAGCCAATCGCCCCGCCTACACTGTGTTACTATAGTAACTACCAGTTACTAAACTGTAATGGAAACGCAGCTTAAAGTGAGTCTTGACTACCAAGGCCAAACTAAGCTGTGCTAAGCCGTGCTAGGTCCTGCAGTGGAAAAGCGCCATAAGACATGTAGAGTACTGAAAAAATCAAGTCAAAATATTAATCTGTACTTTAAAGAAAAGTACTGAGGTAAAAGTACAGTTATGTTTTTATAAAATATAGGTACTCATGCAAATCGAGGAATATTAAGCAAAACATATGTTTCCAAATGTTGTTTTCTTACCATGATAGCATCTGTGATTATTTATAACAGATGCTAATGTGTTCTCCATGTGACCTGAGTCTTTTTTTATAAAAGCCTGCAGAATATATTAAGATAGTTCTTTTTAATGGCCCTTTTTATCTGCCACAGATTAGTAAATACTGTGAGGCTTTCAGCACCCTTCCCTTTACTTATATCATTAGCTTTAACATGTCTATGAGATATATTAGAGGGGGGGGGGGGGATGTGGGCATTACTGTATGAGCGAGGTAGAAATATGGATGACATGATGGAGACACAGAAAGCTTTGAGATTACAGAATTGATTTTGTGAGAGCACTGCACTAGAGAGAGGCCGTATCAAATGAATTTAATTTCAAACCAAATAATATGACATTCTTTAAAGGCACCTCTGGTAGAACTTTGTCCTTGAAAGCTATTTGTGTGAGATACCTTAAAAGAAATGCTAAAGAGCACGGTGAATAACACGCCATGTCATTGATTTTGCAGTCCTTTTATTTGAGGAGCTCTCTTTTGAATCAATTCACTTTTGTTTGTCCCTTCTTTCATTCCTCATTCAGGAGCTGTAGAAAAACATCTCTCCTGATGTGTCTTATTTGGAGCCTCTTATGTAGAGAGGATCTAATGGGTTGTTTTTTAAGGCTTTTAGCTTGCTTTCTGTGATTTGGACACTTAATTGATCCTGATTGTGTACCCAAAGGTAAATCCTATTTGTTCGCTTGACTAAAGACATGTGGCTCAGTGTCCCTCGCTGAATGACTTCAGGCAGAAGACCAGAATTTATTTTACTTTCTTTAATATCCCTTCAAGGCAGCTTTTGGCATCTTGTGTCTGTATTTACCATTGAATGAATGTGACCTTGCCACATAAAACTTTGCAGAATATTTGGAAGAATGAAAATATGTTGCTGTTTGGCGACCCATTTCATACAGAAAGGTATTGACTCTTTTATTGCAAAGAAATACAAAAGAAACAGATTGTGAACATTTTGTAATGCATTAGTAAGTGGATAACATGGCTCCCTATAGAGTGGTTCAGTGATGATGTATTGGTATATGCCGACCCGGGAATTGCCATTGGCAGTATTCTCTCGACAAAAAGCAATGGGATTTTCCATTGGATTATTGCATAAAGTTAAAGTAATATCTTTGGAAAACAAAGGTATACGATACTTACAAATGCCAGAGGTAAAAAGTACCTAACGGTGGGCTATTAATAGGCTATGTGTTGTCTTATTTAACAATTTGAGGTATTTATGACTCTTTAACCCACATTAATTTCCCCTTTCATCTCTTATATACGCATATCATATTTATGTTAAAGCTAAAGATAGAAGTAAAAGGTGATGTGATAGAAGTTATTATTATATGTCAGATAAAAAAGGGTTATCAATGGAGGATTGGAAGGCTTGATTTACATGCATGGCTGCATTTGCTGTTGTTCTCATCTCAGCAGATTGGTGCGGTTTTTATTTTTTTATGAGGATACAGGAGTTATCCTCCCCAGCGCTCCCTTGGTAAGAAGCAATGGGATTTTTCCATTGGATTTCGGGATATTGCAAACAATAAGAAATGTGGCAAAGATACTTTTATGATACTATGATAACCACTTTTATAATGGTTAAAGAATAAATGCATTCATCAGAAGTAAAACCCCTGCTAAGCTAAAGGCGGCTAATTTGAGTAGTCCAGTTAAGCCATTCGTTAGCAACCGCCATATTTTAAACACATAGAAGCTTCAGACATCCATCAGTGGGGTATATTATGTCTTTGAACAAAGCGTTAACATCTTGTGAGCGATTGTTAACATCAGACCAGCTACCACCTGCCATCCAACTCATTCCTAGGACTCATTCCCCCACCATTGTACTAATTGCAGTCAAGACAGCATTTCCAGTTATATAACACTTAATATACAGTACATACCGGCATGGAACCACCATGTATTCATGTTATTTGCTCCATAACTTATATTTCTCTGTCATTCTGTTCTTCTTCTTTGCCCGGTGTTAGCGGTTCATGCTAAGAGTATCGTTGCCATCCTGCACCTCCTGGTGGCGCTGTCTCAGCACTTCAGAGCTCCAATCAGACTGCCTGACCACGTTTCCATTCAAGTAGTGGTTGTCCAGGTGGGTGGGACCTTGTTTGAGTGTGACAATACAGCATTTGTCTTAGTTCAGGTGCCAGTACATTTCTGATAACCACTAGAATACAACAAAATCCAACATTAACATACTTTCCTCCTTTCGTGTCTCACAGAAAAGAGAGGGCATCCTTCAGTCCAGGCAAATTCAAGAGGAGATCACTGGCAACACAGAGTGAGTATGCTCTGATGCTGACTTATTTCACACCTCACAGGGTGTAGCTATTGACAGACATTAGTGCTGCTAAAAGCTCTCTGTTACCATGACAGAAATGGTTTCTACATTAAAGTGGACCTATCATGCTATATTTGAATAATATAGTGTAGGACCATACCTATATAAGGCATATGTATACTTTTTTATTTTTCAAAATACCAAACAGATCATCCATTTTAGCCATTCCTCATTTCGCTCAATTTAACACTGAGTGTTAAATTGAGCGAAATGAGGAATGGCTAAAATGGATGATCTGTTTGGTATTTTGAAAAATAAAAAAGTATACATATGCCTTATATAGGTATGGTCNGTACGTACGTACGTACGTAACGTACGTACGTACGTACGTACGTACGTACGTACGTACGTACGTAGTAGTACGTACGTACGTACGTACGTACGTAGTAGTAGTAGTAGTAGTAGTAGTAGTAGTAGTAGTAGTAGTAGTAGAGAGAGTAGAGAGAGAGAGAGAGAGAGAGAGAGAGAGAGAGAGAGAGAGAGAGAGAGAGAGAGAGAGAGAGAAGTTGTGTACAATGTAGCACTGATGCCCATTCTGCTCCGCAGCTTGGCAGGGGCCGCTGGCCAAGACCCAAACAAAAGGCTACTGTGGTGTCTCCTCAGATTGCCTGTTCAGAATACCGTAGTACTACAGAGGCCAATGGAGTGGGAGATGGCTCTGCACTGAATGGGCTCTGGGGTAAACGGATGGCATTTACCCGGCTATTGAGAGGAGAGTCCTGGCTCCCAGTGCTCAGAATCCTCACAAATCAAGTATTGATTCAAGAGTTTTTCTCAAACTATAGGTCACAACCAAACATGGGTCAGGATCATACAGACTATGGTCGGGATCTTTCTCCTAGCACTTTCGGGTTTCTTCGTCTCAAAGTCAATTATTTTTTTAATAATATTTTTATTAGATGAATGAAATAAGGTACGGCATAACATGTCAGTAAAGACCACACTAGTGAATGTTTGAAGCTTCTATGTTTCATAAAAACAGTGTGAACAAGTGCAACTACCAAATATCATCATGATGATCATTAGCCACCTTTAGCTTAGCGATGGTTACGTCATATGAGGATGATGTAGTTCGATTATAGCCTAACGTAAGATTGTCTCTTCTGGCAATTCCCATTATGTGTAAAGTACTGTTAATATGTGGAGGTTATCCCGCTGAATAAAACATGTATCATAAACGTGTGTGCCACAAAGCTTATTTTTGGCCATTTTCCAAAATCCAATAAAAGACATCCCATTGTTTCTTGTCGAGTGAGCCCTTGCAATGCTAACTCCATGTCAGCCTACAAAAAACATCATCACTGCACAAGTACACATGCCTGCTTGTCTAAGACGCAGCATCAAAAAAGTTGCATTTGTACATATTGTGAAATTATTGTCGTCTTGTTACGTGAGCCAGGCCCACGCTACAAAGGTCACAGCTGCTTTCTTATTTATATGCATTGAGAAACTAAACTTTTGTTGGCCCTGAATTAAAAGCAGTGGATAACAGAATGATGGGATGACAAACGGCCAGCTTGACCCAATCTGAACATCACGAAACATCACATACAAAAATACTTAGAAAAATATATGGGTGAATAAGTAAATATATAATTTGTTCACCCAAAATCTTGAGTTTCAAAGATTAATACCCTCTTCATTCAATCATGAAATATACTACATTACATTACATGTCACTTGTTAGACGCTTTTATCCAAACTTACATACTCAATACTGTGGACACAGGAGCAATTTGGGCTGAAGTGTCTTGCCCAGGGACAAAACGGCATGCTGACTGCAATGGGGTTTGAACCTGTGCTCCCCTGATCCCAACACCAACCCCACTGCACCACACGCCTCCTTACTACTACTACTACTACTACTACTACTACTACTACTACTACTACTACTACTACTACCAAGTATGTCCTTCTTTGCTTCTAAGTGCTGCACTGACCATATTTGGAATCAAGTGTACACGTTTGAACATTGTACGTTTATCTCGTTCCACTCCTGCTCAACTTGTCTCTTTATAATATGGTTGAGGTCATGTCACAAATCACACTACACCTTTTGGTCAAAATTCTCTGGTGTTAGGAAAAAGTTGTAGAGCGGTACAAAGTATCCCTCCAGCAGCCCCATCAGCAGCACCAGGTACACACCGTCTGCAAACTGAGAGAGAAGGACAGGGATGTAACCTTGATCATGGACTAGCAGCAATAATGACTTAAATAGGTGGCATTTTCCCAAGTTTCCATAAGACAACAATCTCAATTACTATGAAAAACATGTTGTGATGGACATGCTTTTCAAAATAATGGACTTTTAGAAAATTGGAACATGGATTCAAGCATTGACTTCATATTCTTATAAAAAAAGCTTCCCTGCGTTTATATGCAGGTGTGTGACGTACCTGTGTGTCCAATTCAGACACCTCCAGGTTGAGCTTGTTGAGGTGTTTGTTCACAAAAGTGATCAATGTCTGAGAAAACACAAAGGAAGGTATGTCTCAGAAGTTTGTGACGTTTCAGATAACACAGGTAATGAAATGCAAAGATATGCGTACACAAATTGTAGACAAGCATACATTTAAAAAAAAGAAAATGGGGTAAAAAAGTCAGTAATGTGGCATCAACGATTTGGCCTTTGGCAACCATACTGGAGGTCTTAACCACTGTGACAACTTCTACTTTTAAACTGCAAACTTAATGTCTGGACTAGGGATGGGAACGATTAATCGAATATTCGAAATTATTCAGGTATTTGAATATGAAAATATGAGTTATGAATATTTTTATTGTAATATCTTTTTTTTTTTTTTTTTTGGGAGGGGTGCCTAAGTTGATTACATATGATCAAATGAAATAATTAAATGTATACGACAGTGCCATAGCTAAGTGTGTTAGGTATAAAGGTGTGTTTTGCTCCGCTCACCGGTCCCTCACA